TAATATATAAACTATGCGTGCTTGCAGCCAAAGCTGCCGCACACGCTTCGTTGGACGCTGCTACTGCCATCTCATTATTATATTTATTTATTATTACTATTATTTTGATTATTTTTTCATTCGTTGTTCATCACTTTTACGATTCGTTACGGCCGCCAGTTAAGTAAAGTATACTTAATTAATTACTTTTTGTTCTATGTATAATTACAAAATTAAGCGCAATGTTTGGGCGCCATTTTTTAAATTGTATTTGTTTTCGCTAGAGTATTAACTAAATGTAGCAATATGCTTAACAACTAATTACAATTAATTATCGCTGCACAATAGTTTAATTTATTATTTTTGTTTTTGTTATTTAATTAAATTCCGCGTTTACTAAAGAAAATTTGAGTAGCTTTCAAAGCTTCACATTAAATATTGTAATCTGTGTGTATGTTTGTGTGAGCACATATATATATGTGTGTGTACTCGTCGATGTGTGCGTTGTGTTGCATAATGCTTAATTACAAACAAAAACATTAATTAACTTTAATTATAGTATAACATTTGTGGAAATTAAGTAAACGTGTAGCATGCATTTAGGCGCGCGTATCAAAGTGCTTCGATAAGAAATGCTTTAGTGTGTTTTGAATACAAAAAGAAACAATACTAATTACAAATTTAAACAACTTCAATTACAACAATTCAATATAAAGCTTTTTTTAGATTTTTGTTTTTTCCTTTAATTTCAATGCAAAAATTACGCACTCTGTGTCAATGTATGTGTGTAGTGAGTATTTCGAGTTATGCCAAATTTTCGCTATTTAAAGGCAGTGTTTTCTTTTTTACTTTTCCACCTTTTCACTTAAATTTTTCTTACTCATTTTTGTTGTTGCCAATTTGCTTGCTGCACTTCACTACTAAATCGTACGAGTCTAAGCTAAAATCTATTCGCATTTAAATACAATGTATCAGCGTCGTTAAATTTGCCAAGTGACGCAGATTCGTTAATTTTATGACCACAATTCTTTATTGCTGCCCTTTGTTGGACGACACTACTATGCATGTGCACTTGTATATATGTATATATATATATGTGTGTGTGTTTGCGTATGTGTTTCGAGTTTGGCGCGTTTTGCGCTTATTGTACTTCGCTGTCACTGTCGCTCTTCTCTGAAAAGTGGAGAGAGTGGATTGCACATAAATTGAGGTTTTATTGATTTTCAATTGCGTTAACGGCTTATACCTTTCTTGCCAGTGTATGCGTGTCGTTTCAGTCGATCATATAAGTCTTCTTTAGTTCCATACAGCGAAGCATTCGACCTCGCCAATGTACTCATTTTACCGCCATGCAGACCTGACGTAAAGAGAAGAGGAATAAAATTAGAAATAAAAATGAGAGATTTGAAAAATATTAGAGCAAAACAGCACAACTTTACAGTGAAAAATAGCATATCATAATATAACGTAACGTAACGTAAAATAATGTAACGTCATATAAGATAATATAATACATCGTTAGATAATACAACTTAGCGCAACGTAACGTAACGTAACTTAACATAGCACAACTTAACGTAATGTAACTTAACGCAACGTGACTTAACATAACATAACTTATCAAAGCATAACTTAACGTAAGATAACTTAAGGTAACGTAACTTAACATAACATAACTTAACGTAACATAATAAAACATAACGTAAACTTAACGTAAGATAACTTAGCATAATATAACTTAACGTAACTATCAAAACAAAACTTGGCATAACGTAACCTAACTCAACATAACGTAACGTACATTACTTAACATAGCACAACATAGCAGAGCATATCCTAACATAGGGCACAGTATATTTGCAAGTAGATTTGAGAGTTTTGTTTTCCCAAAATCCGGCAAATTTCGTGAAAAAAAATATACTAATATAGATAAATTCTTGGGAAGAAAGATACAGATCCATAACTCAAAAACTGAGACCCCAGTTCGCATATATACGGACAAACATAAGACGTGAGCTAAATCGGCCCAGCTCATCACGCTGATCATAAAGTCCTCGACGTTTTCTTCTGCTTACAACAAACTTAATACGATCGTCAAAACATAAAATTGTTAAAACTACTCACCACCGCCATCCTTGATGTACGCCTCGTTGTAGAAGTTCGGCATCTCCCAGCCGTCCTCCTCGTCATCGTAGTAATGCGCATAGGTGCTGTGATGTGACGGCGCAATAGACTCCGCATAAGGCGTATGCGCACCGTAGTAGAAGTTCACCTGCGAACCGGTTTGATCGATAGCTGGTGTGAGCATTTTCTTTGGATCGCGACGCTTGGTCGAACGTACGCAGATCATCCAAATCAACAGCACAATGACGATGATAAAGATAACGGCACCCGCAATACCACCGGCAATATAGGCAAACTCAGAGCGTTCCGCACAATGCGGACCGGTGAAAGAGCCAATGCAACGGCATGATGGTGTACCCTTGAGATCTTTAACACAAGTGCCGGAATTCTCGCAGAAGCCATCGCACATGTCCGTGCACTCCATACCAGTACCATTGAAGCCAGGTTTGCACTCACACTTGAAGTCCGACGTTTCAGGCACCAATATGCAATAAGCATTAGGGTCACAATGTGGACGACCCTCGGCAATATGTTCGCATGGGTTGGTGCACTCCGACTTGGCGGTGGCGCCCGTAATCTTAGTACTGTGATTGGGTGGACATTGTATGCACGAGGTTTGCTGTGAGTCCGGCTGATAGTAGCCCTTGCGACATTCCACACACATATTGAGTGTACCGTTGAGATAAGTACCGGGTGAGCAGACAGGCAGTGTGCATTCCTCCACAGAATTGGCGCCCACTTTCGGTGTTGTACGGCCAAGCGGACAATTGACACATGATGGTTGTACGCCCTGTGTGCGATACGTGCCACGTGGGCATGGCTCACAACGGCCATCGATGCCAAGCTGTTGACCAGAACTGCATTCATCGCGACATTCCTTGCGTGAGGTGGCCTCACTGGAGCGTGTAGTCTGACCGAGTCCACACAGTTCACAGCTGAATGAACCTTCGTTGGGCTGGTAGAAGCCATGACCGCAAGAGCGACACAAGCCAGTGTCCGAGTCAAAGTATTTACCAGCTGGACAACGTTCCTTACAATCGGCTGCCGAACGTGCGCCGGGACCGGCAGTAACACCTGTTCGACCGGCAATCACTGGACACTTGCTGCATTGCAGTTGTCCCGCCTCCGATTGATAAGTGCCGCGCTCACAGGCAACACAAGTCTTATTCGCCGTATCGTAATAGGTGCCAATGGCACATGGCACACAGTCGGGTATCATAACCACCTGTCCAACGGGGCAGGCATACTCTGACCCCAATTCCAGCGAAGCTGGATCGGGTACGGTGTTGGGTAGAATGTCTTGTACGGCGAATTGATCATCTTCGAGTATAAGTTTTTCCAAGAGATTCTTTACGGTCGAACGTTCACCTGTGCTCGAGTGGATTACCGGGTCGCTGTGAATAAGAAGTGTTAGTAATTATTACTTAGGTTCAAAGCGGCGGCTTAAGGTTATGTGCTAAAAGCTAAGCGTTATTGGGTGGCATTGAGCACAATTTGTGAGGATGGGATTAGCAATAGTTAGATGTATGTAGGTGATGCTAGTGATTTGCAAGGATATGATTGTTATGTTACGGTTAGTCCTACTATGCTGTGTCACGTTATGTTATGTACAGTCACATTACGATTTGGTACGCTGTTCTATGTTAAATAACGTCATTTGGTCATGTTAAGTTATGTGATACACGTAACCTTATGTTATGTTATTTTATAGTATACTATATGTAATATTGTGTTAAGTTATTTAACGCCAGGTTATACTATTCTATGTTATGTTATGATAAGTTAAGTTACGTTATGTTACGTTACTTTACGTCAATTTATGTTACGTTAACTAATATTATGCTCAGTTACGTCTATTTACGTTACGTTAAGTAACGTTCTATCACGTCATATTATGTTATGTCAGTTTAAGATATATTTAGTTACGGAATAATACGTTACGCTCCGATAAGTTACGTTACGTCAAGTTACGTTACGGTAAGTTATGTTCTATTGCGTCATATAACAAAATGTTAAGAGTAATTACGATATGTTATGTCACATTATGTTATGTTAGCCCCCTTTATTCCCTTACGTTATGTCAGATCATGTTATGCTATGTCATGTTAAGTTAAATTTTCGAAATAAGATTACTGTTAGCATTGATGGGGAAGCTTAAATCGCTTTAAAAACTTTCGAAAGCAACAGCAAAACTTAAAATCACCAAGCCACAAGCCACCAATAAAATAATTAACGATAAATTGTATAATTTATGTGAGTGAAGCGCTTTCGCCCGGCGTTATTAGCGTGCTAATGTGCGCAAATTGAAGCAGAAATTCGACAATGAGCATAAACATACTTCACTGCCGGGAAGAGTATCTCCAGCATGTACGTATCGCCGCCGGCTTGTTGGCGTCCCTGACGACTGCGCGTCTCCACTTCATCGTTTTCGCTATAAATCAGTGATTAATTGTGTTAAATTCGATTAAAAAACATACACATAGAAAACTCACACATACACAAACATTTAAATGTACATGCAGACACTCATAGCGGTTACTTTTACAAACATATAAACATTAAGTCCACACGTATCTCTTCCGACATATTTTCAATTTATAATTTTACTTACTTGAGCACTGGAATCTCTGCCTCCATGACGTAGACACCACCATCCTTGACCTGGCGACTGACACGTTGACTTTGGGCCGCACGGTAGTGATCGCATTTCACATCAATCTTGATATCCTTGCATTCGCTGAGAAGATTAGAGAAGAAATAATGTTTTTTATAAAGCTTTGAGGTGAGCTTTTGCAGTTTGAGCTGTAATTCCCGACTAATTCCCGAATTAGTTGTTTCAACATTTTTTCAGAATCTCAAAGAATTATAATAATCAGCGATCTTATCATCTATTGCCAAGGTTTCATTTCCCACCTAAAAAGATCTCTAGATCGAAATGTGGATGAACAGCCGATCTTCAAAATTTACTAGTTTCTAAAAAACATGTCACCTTCAGACGACCAGGAGAGAAAGATCTCTAGATCGATATGTAGGTGACTACTCCTCCTTTATAATATACTACTATCTAAAAATTTCACCTTCAGACCACAAGAAAGATGCTTTAGGACACTCCCAGCCTTGTCGCAGTCATGTGAGCTTTCTTTCCCTTTAAAAATCTTGTTCAAGTAATACTTTATACACATTTGCTCTACAATCGCTCGAAGCATTCAGTATCGAAAATTTCTTTATTTTGATACTAAAGATATAACCTACATTACTGATAGATCTTACGACTTTAGTCCAGTTTCTACTTCCGCTTCTGTAGTTCCTTCTAAGGTGGAGTTCCAAATTTTAAACAGCTTTTTTTGAACCATAAAACTCAGCAACTTTCTCTTAAATTCAAGTTTATAAAGAACTTGCTCTAAACTTGCCTACCTAGATTAGACGAGTATTTAAGTAGAAGATAAACATAATCGAGGAGGTTCCGTAAAGCTTGGCACTGTCTGATGCGACTCAAAATCAAAATTCCATTCCAGATCTTAACTACCTTAGATTATAGCTCGATTCACCGAAGTTACTGTTGACTATGGACAGATAACATCTTTTAATACTTCGCAACTAATTAGAGGTCAGCTATTTTATCAGAAATTATTCCTAACTGATTTTAACTAATATTTCCTGCTATCCTAAACGATCCGTAACACTTAATAGCCACACCGACATCACCTTAAACAAAAATATATAAAAAAAAAATAACTCACCGTGTACCCTCCACAGAGTATGAGCAGAAGTTCCAGTCACGATTGAGCGCATTCACCGAGTTCGTCACCTTTTGACGCAGCACACCTTGGCCAGCCTTGTTGCAGAGCACATCCGAAGGGAAGAGCATCTTAATGCGGAAGACGCGTTGTGCAGGTTTGGAAGCTGTAAGTAGAAGTAATATATACGAAAGATTAGTTTCAACTTCAACAACAAGAACAGCTCTTAGAAACTCACGTGAGCAGGATGGGTAAATCATTGGCATGGATGGTTCGCGTGTTGGACGCCAGAAACCTTCAGCGCCACAAGTATAGAAGTCGGGTACAGCCTCCGAGAAGCGTAAGCCAGGATTACAAGAGATTTCGCAAACCTTAAATTGACCGCCTGCGCCCCAATCTTTGCATACTTGCACACCGCCAACTGGATCGGCCAAAGGTGGACAGAATTCAGCTGCAAATAAAGACAAATTACGGTTAGTACCATTTTATAGACACATCCTTATATATGTTTCTCTCTTTCTGTCTTAAGTACTCACTCAGCAGAGCAACCTTGAAGCTGCATGTGGCAGTATTGCCTGCAGCATCCGAAGCTATGTAGGTTATGTCATAAGAGCCCCAAAGCAAGGTGGTACCCGGACGATGACCATTACGTTCAATAATCTTAGTTACGCCAATGTTGTCACTGAAGTGTGGTTCATCCCAAGTTACCACGGCGGAGCCATTCTTAGCAATGACCCACAAGTCACCTGGACAATGTTCCACTGTTGGTGGTTCTTTATCGACAACCAATTGTTGGCAGTTCGGACCTTGATAACCGTTAGGGCATTTACGTTGACCACACATTGAAGGCACTGTACGTTCGACACCACCAGATGTGACTTCGTAACCGGCCCAGTTTAGTACCAGACCATGATAGAGCACAGGCTCTGAGCGGCAATCACGCACTTGTTTCTGTATTTCGGAAGTGATATCCAAAGCGCGTCCCCAAACTTGCGCTTTAGTAATTGTACCCTGGAAACCGGACTCGGCATACGAAGCTGAATGTGTTGTATCATCGGGTTGAGGACGTCCAAGTACGGCCCACGCATATTCGGGCAGAGTACGTCCGAAACCATATTCCATTTTGCTCGCGATAAGACCCTCCGTAATCAACTGCAGTTGACCGCTTACACCATCCCAAAGTATCGCCACATGATGCCATTGTCCGTCATTAACTGAAGTGTATTCACCGAAGGAGAGGAAAGCGTCAGGCAGATCTTCGAAGATGGAAACCTGCACACCACTTGAATGCGCTTGCAAGAGCAAGCGGCGATGGTTGGCGATGTGTGGTGATTGCACGCCGTAGAGGGTGAAGAAGATGCCAGTATCGTCCTTTTGCGCGAATTGTACCCACATTGCGATAGTTAGACTGTTGGTCTCGCCAGTGTAGAAAGGTACCACTTGCGCGGCGGTGGAGCGCAATGGATCGCTAAAGTATAAATCGTAGTCTACTTGTATTGTCTTGCGACAGTCATCGCCGGTCATATTGAAGGCGCACTGACAGTAGAAATCATTCGTCAGATCGATGCAAGTAGCGCCAGGTGGACATGAGTTGTCCTTACAGTCGACAATATCATCCTCGCAGTTTTTACCCGTATAACCAGGTGGGCAGGCGCAAGAGTAGCCATTGCCATAGTCAATGCAGGTTGCGCCATTCTGGCAAACATTTGCATCACAAGCGTCGAACTCGTATTGACAGCCAATACCGGAGAAATCAGCTGGGCATGTACAGTTCAATCCAGAGCCATAATCTTGACACTTACCGCCATGCATGCATGGGTTGCCGATACAACGTTCAGGCGCGGTCTCACAATTCTTGCCATCAGTACCACTCGGACACACGCAGAAGTAGTCCTGGAATAAATCAATGCAGTTGGCGTCATTCTGGCATGGCGACTGACCACCACACGATGTAATCTGACGTTCGCAACGCACACCACGCCAACCCTCCAAGCAAGTACACTCAAAGCCAGCAACACGATCGCGACACTGCCCACCATTCAAGCAAGGACTGGTCTCGCAATCATCAATGTCTGTCTCACAGAATGCGCCTGTGAAGCCTTCACGGCATACGCATTCAAATTTGTTATCCAGATCGAGACAGCGTTCAGTGCCCACTGGGTTGCATGGATCACTCAAACACTCATCGATCTCCGCCTCACAACTGAGACCAACAAAACCTGGACGACACTTGCAGGTAAAACCATCCAATTGATCTACACATGTAGCGCCATTCTGGCAGGGGCTCGATTCACAATCATCAATAGTATGCTGGCAATTTTTGCCAGTATAACCAGGCTCGCAGGTACAGCTGTAACCATTCACCAAGTCCACGCAGACGCCATCATTAGCGCATGGTTCATTAGCGCAATCATCAATATTAATATCACAAGCATCGCCGCTCCAACCCGGATGACAGACACACTCGTGATCGAAGAGTCGATCAACGCAGGTACCATGCTTGCACGGCTCTGATAAGCACAAGTCGATCTTCTCCTCACAACGTTTACCGGTGAAGCCAGGTGCGCAACCACATTGGAAGTCATTCACCAGATCAGTGCAGTTCGCGCCCAACAGGCACGGATTCTCAGCGCAGTCATCAATATTTTGTTCGCAATGTATACCCTCCCAACCAGGCAAGCAATCACATTTGTAGCGACCCTGTTGTAAGGCCAAGCAGCTTGCGCCATTCGCGCATGGATTGCCATTCGCCGTGCAAGGATCGATGGTCACATCACAATCGGCGCCAGTATAACCGCTGCGACACAAACAGGTGTAGTTCTTAAAACCAGGTTCATTCTTGCACATAGCACGTGCCGGACAGGTATCATTGCTGCAATCGCTCGCTTCTTCCTGACAATTGATGCCCGAATAACCGGGTGGACACTCGCAGCGATAACCTTGTGGTAGATCAGTACAAGAGCCACCATTGTAACAAGGCTGTGAAGCGCATTCATCAATATCGATCTCACAGCGTCTGCCGGAGAAACCAGCCGGACAGAAGCACTGTACACCGTGACCCATGGGCACACAGAGACCACCATGCATGCAAGCGCCCTCACCGCACACCACCGGCTTGCATTCCTCCCGTCCTTTTGCGCCAGGACCTTCGGTACGCATATTAGTTGGGCACTCATTGCAAGTTTGTGCGCCAATTGCGCTCTGATAGTAGTTGACCGGGCAGGGTGAGCACGGTGCTAGGCCAGTGTATGAGTAGAAGCCTGGTGCGCACTTCTGACGACACAGATCCTTTGTAGAAGCGGCCGGTTGGAAAGTGAAAGTGTTTTGAGCACATGCAGTGCAATCCTTGAAGCCACCAGTTGGTGGATCACTGGTGTATGAGTTACGTGGACATTCCAAACAAGGTACCAACCCCGTTGGCGAGTACGTGCCGTAACCGCAGACAGGTATACAATCAGCTAGCGCCTTTGAACCTTCCTCCTTAGTGTAAGTGCCAGCCGGACAACGTAGACAAGTGCCCTGGCGATCGCGGTTCTGATAGTAGCCACGTGGACAGTTGGTACACACGCTTTGACCGGTTATGACATAAGTGCCAGCGGGACAATGCAGACAACGCGGCACATCACTCGTATCCATATTCAGCACTTCACCAATACTACAGGTGAAGCCACGCGAAATGTTACTCTTGAGTGCGCGCAGCGGTGGACATTGATTGCCGATGTTGGAGATATTTAGCAGCGAGTCGATGACTGCGCTGGCATAGGGCACACTCAAGTCGAATATCAAGTTGAGCGTAGAGCCGCAAAGCTCGTACAATTGTGGTTGTCTAACGGCTGGCAGGATCGAGAGTATAAAGTCCATCTTCACGACGTTTTCCTCCAACAAGCTGGGCACCGATTTCACGAATGACACATTCATATTAACATTGACAGCCGAGCAGCGCTGCGACAGTAGACGGTTCAAACCGGCGTAGTGTTGTGAGAGCATATCTTGATATTGATTGAGACACGCCTGTGCAACAGCGCCGTTAGCGCGATAAGTGACAGTGGCAGTAACTTGATAATCAGCTTGTTCGGTATTTTCCGAAACGCAGTCGGGCACAACCGAAGTGGGCTTCCACAAACGCGATGTTTCGCAAGAGAATGACTTCAAAGGTTCGCCATCAGTGAAACGGAAGCCGGGTTTACAAGTCGCTATGCACTCTATGCCACGATCGCCAGTTAAACAATTGATAGCGCCATTCGCTGGTGGTTGCAGTTCCCAATCCACACATGGTGAAGCTTGCACCGAGACTTGGAAGTGACAGAAGGCGCGATTGTTGTACTTGTCAGTGGCTGTAACGGTAACATTCTCATAGCCACCAATGGGTATGATAGCGTGTTCGGGTGTATAAGTTACGCGCACATCGCCAGACTCATCAGATGTCTTAATACGTTTACGTGTGTCGTTGAAATTCACGTTGTAGCTATCTTGACGTTCCACCAATTCGATGACGTAACTTTGTGGACATTGCAGCAGCGGTGGCGTGACGTCGGGTACGGTAATGTTGATCTCGCAGATAGCCACATTACCATCATAATCGAAAGCGACATATTTCACCACAGTATCCTTGAACACATAAGAGGGAGTCTTGAAGTTTTGTGGCTTGACTTCGAGACGCGCAATGGAGCCAGAGTTGTCGACGGCAGTAGGTTCGGTGAAGTTGACCGGCAACACAGCGCCGTTCTCATCATGCCGCACAATGATCGGTTGTTGTGGGCAGTTCTGGAAGATCGGTGGTTCATTGTCCACGCATGGTGAGTAACCATAATCATAACCTAGCAGTGGTTCCTTCTTGGGCTCTTCGCAACCCATCAGCTCGAATTTCAAGCATGCATTATCCATATAGCTGACGATACCCAAAATAACGAAACGTGCCTGCACATATTTGGGTAGCGTAATCATCGCCAATTCACCATAGTTGCCGGGATCGCGCATAGTCAAATTGAAATTAGGGAAATACACTACATAATTCTCATTCTCAGCTTGTTTGTAGAAGAAACGTATCTCGGTGGGACGTCCCACAATATCATTGGTAACCACACCCTTAACCAAAATCGCCTTCACACGATGTATCTGACCCAAATCGACGCTGACATAAGTGAAAGCCTCCTGCTTGCCACACCAGCCAGTCGCAGAGTTCAAACGTATATTCTTAGCCTCGTAATTCGGACGCTCCGATGTGGCATTAATAGCTGAATCAGGTATCTTACCTGAAGTAACACCCAAAGGTTTGATTACACGGCATTCAGGTTCGCGTATGCAAGTAATCGGACGTGGATTAATCAATATATAACCGGGACGATTGCAACCGAAGTATACTTCCGAACCCTGTTCGTAACTGCGCGCGATTTGGCGACCATCACTTGGACGACCAGGATCCTCACACACGGGTCCTTCGCAACGCAAATCACCAAAGTCCCAAATACCATCGGATTGACAGCGCACGACATTATCGTGACGGGACGTCTGGCCGGCTAACTTGAATGTATTCTGACAGCCGAAGAAGAATGAGCTCTGGAAGCGTGTGTCTACAAATTGTCCATATTCTGCGCCAGGTGTTGACATTGGTTGATAGCAATCGACGCGTGGACAAGAAGGCTGCGAGCCAGATAGCCAATAGTCGGGTAAACCGGGTTTGGGATCGTACACACACTGACGAAAACCTGAAGTGGCTGTATTGCGTAGCTTACGGCCTGGTGCACTGCAGGTAATGGTTACATTATCACGGAAGGGCACTAGCACGGATTCGGGATCAGGACGTTCGACAGCTAAGCCCTCTAGCTTGTCATCAGGTAAGGATACACACTTGGCATCTAATAAAGAGAGTTTAATTAAATGAGATATAAGTAAAGTTTTATAATGATAAACTTACAGTTACATTCCGGTACCGTGGCGTTCCACTGACCCGTCGAGAGACAAAGCACAGCGGCGCTGCCTGACATAATATAACCGAAATTACATTGGAATCGCACAACATCACCGAAGTGATGATCGTTCTTGTCGGTCAAGAGCTTGCCGTTCTCAGGTTCCAACAGTGGTGGGCACATCAGTGGCACACAAGTCTTATTACGCTGATAGGTATCGCCATCGCGTTCGCCTGTTTCGGTGCGTTCAATGCTAAAGCCAGCTGTACCGTTAGCTGCGAAGAGTTGATAGCCCGTATTGCAAGAGCAACCATAACTACCGGGTGAGTTCACACATTTCTGATCGCAACCACCGTTATTCTTTGCGCACTCATTAATATCCACACAGTCCAAACGTGTGCAGCCCATCAGCTCCATGCGTATACAAGGTGCACCGACATAATCCTGTATGCGGAAGCGTATATAACGTGCCTCGATGGGCATTGGTAGATTGAGAATAGACAGAGTGGGTTCTAATATGCGGAACTCAACAGCAGTGCCATCGGGATTGGTATAATCTTTGAAAACATCGGTAAGATCATCGGTATACTGTAGACGCACGGCAGAAGTGAATGCGACATTGCCATCGAAACGTTGCACGGACATCGTACGGAAACCACGTAGTATAGTTGGTGCTTTGAGATCAATCAAAATCCAATTTGCACCCGGTTCGACAAGCGCGCCACACCAGCCAGCTGAATTGAGGCGCACAAAACTCTTCGTGTAACCTTCCTCACTGGACGAAGTCATAATACTGTCATCGGGTATACCACCATTGGCCAAACCCAAATCACCGACCGGACGACACTCCGGTGTTGGCGCAAAACCTGCGCGACACTGACAATGGAATGAACCATTCGTGTTCATGCACTCTGTGGTGGCCAAATCACATTGGGTCGACGTGCATTCGTTGATATCTTCACAGGTGGGTGGATTCTCAAAGATTTGTTCCGAATTACAACGTATGATATTGCTACCGATCAGCTTGTAACCCTTATAGCACTGCACGCGTGCATCATCGCCGTAGTAGTAGGGACGTGCTGAGTCCACGACAAAACCATTATCGATTTTCGGATATTCGTAACAACGCTTGCGCGTGCAACGTGGCACATCACCGCTCCAAGTGCCGTTAGACATACAAATCAGCACCGGGTGACCATTACGTTCATAACCCGATTCACACTCGTATTGCACGATAGTACCGTAACTGCGACCGCCGCCATTTAACAGCGTCACATTTGCATGCGGCACTTCGGGTAGCGGAGAGCATTGTGAGGCCATGCAAGTGGGCGTGCGTTCCCAACGGCCATCGGGCAGACAGGAAATCTTCTCAATTGGCGCGCCCGAAGCAAAAGCGAAGCCGGCATAGCACTGATACATGGCGACGCCGCGATATGTGACGTTCGACGAGCCGATGGAGAAGCCGTTATCAATTTGCGGCACTGGACCACAGTAGACCTCTGCGTGTGGTAGAAAAACAGGTGTTATAGCATCAATGTGTTCGGTATATCGTTTCATTAAGACTCACCTTGACATTTAGGTATGTACGAAACGCTCCAGTTACCACCCTTCATGCACTCAGTAACGATTTTATTCTTGCCAGTCGAAAACTCTTGTCCAATGGGGCAAGTAAACTTCACCACAGTGCCAAAAGCGGTATCACGACTCGAAGCCAAAGCGCCTATGCCAGGTTTGAGCTCAGGACAATCGGCAGAGAAGGTGGCGGACCAGCTGTAAAGTAGAAAAGTATTAATACTATGCGACTGCTATAAATTTAGCAGCTTTCGTAATTTACCCAGCCGCATTATGCAGCGCATCTGAGGTGAATTTGATCAACATCTCGCCAGATGAGGCAGTCAACGTTAGCTTAGGCGCTACTGTGCCTGTGAAGCCATCACCCGAATGCAAACGCAGACCAGCTGTTGAGGAACCATCATAGACTTGCACGAAATCGCTCTTGTGTACCATAAACTTATCAAATTTCAATGAGAGTGGTGAACCGCTTGGGTTGCGTATGGTGAAATAACATTCCTGGTTCTTTGGATAATCCTCCAAACCGTAGGCGGGCGAGGTCACAGTGCCGTTACGTGCTGTGATTGTTGCCCTGCAGCCCTGTATATAACGTAAGCTGAAACCTTTACCCGACTCACCCAAGCTCGATTTGAAGTAGAGATACAAAGCATTACCAGTCGAGATAATAACTTTCTCATTGTCCTTAGCTTTACCCGTCAAGCGTGCGATGGGTCGACTCATTGGCGATTCACCATCGCGTATAAGCAGCACATCACGTGACTCGGCCACATCCAAGTCATCTACCTCAATCGAAATAATGCGTCCCGGTTGCGCCTTGATGATGTACAAACACTCCAAGCCGCCGGGATATTGTTTCGGATAATTCGGACTCGTCAAAGTTTGACGCTGCAGATTCGCCTTCAATACGCCACCACAATTCTTTGCCTCCGTCTTCCAAGTGGCGCGGAAACCCTTACGCTCTACACTACCATCCGTAGTGAATTTGACAATCATAAAATTGGATGCCGACACAAATGGTTGCATCGTCAAATCCAACTTGCCGCTCAGCGTTGCCAACGACACCGACTTGTCCTCGGTGCGTCCGCCGACCAACACTTGCACTGTATCGAATGTCTTTTCCGTTTCGAATTCTTGGAACTGCAATATGATATTGCTACCCAATGGACCCTCTAATGTCCACTTGCATTTGCTCATCGCCGCATATTTATGTGGATAATTTGGTGTTTCAATCACATCACCGCCCGATTGCATGTGATAGTGACACTGTGCCGGACAATCCAACTCATCCGAACCATCGCCACAATCATCAGCGCCATCACACTTAAACGCCTGATTGACGCACAAGCCATTCGAGCAATGTATGGAGTTTTGCGGACATGCCGGCGCGCGGCACATGAACGGCAGCAGACTCTCGCAAGTGTCCAAACCCCAGGATTGCATGCGCGATGCGAAAGTGGCGGCAACACACTCGCCGGACATCGGGTCGGGTTGATTGAGTGACCAGAAACCGGAGTATTGTGAGATGAGCGCGCCCGAAGCGGACTCCAAGGTATTGGTGCGCAGATCGTCCAGCGAGGCCAAACCTAACCAATATTTATCGGAGGCGCGTCGATTGGGATCGTTTGTGCGCGCAATGGCGAGTGTGTTATTATTCTCCGCATAGGTGTCAATAGCAACAAGTTCGGCGCCATATCTAAGGAAGAGAGAAAATAAAATTAAAAGATGAAAATGTTTGTATGAAAAATTGTTTAATTAAATTTGGTTAAATAAGAATCAAAAAAATTAGTGAAATTTAAATCATTAAAAACGTTAAAATGGATAATAATTTTTTTCTTAATATTATAACTTAAAAAATAATTATTTAGTGAAA